GAAGAAAGTGTCTCATATGATCTAGAAGATAGAGTGGGTAACCAAATTGAATTTTTAAACACTGAGTTCAAAGCTACAATGTACAATTTGCTGGCCTACATAAAACACCTGGATGGTCAAAATGAGACAGCCCTGGAATGCTTACAGCAAGCTGAAGAGTTAATCCAGCGAGAGCATGCTGACCAAGCAGAAATCAGAAGTCTGGTCATCTGGGGAAACTATGCCTGGGTCTACTATCACATGGGCAGGTTCTCGGAAGCACAAGATTATGTAGACAAGGTGAAACGAACCTGTGAGAAATTTTCAAATCCTTACAGTATTGAGTGTCCCGAGCTTGATGGTGAGGAAGGGTGGACACGGTTAAAGTGTGGAGGAAAGCATAATGAAAGGGCGAAGGTATGTTTTGAGAAGGCTCTAGAAGAGAAACCCAACAACCCAGAATTTTCCTCTGGACTGGCAATTGCGATGTACTGTCTAGATGAGAAACCACAGACGCAGTCCCCTGTTGATACTCTGAAGCAGGCCATTGAGCTGAGTCCTGACAGCCAGTATCTTAAAGTTCTCTTGGCCCTGAAACTGCAGAAGATGAATAGAGAAGCTGAAGGGGAACCATTGGTTGAAGAGGCCCTGGAGAAAGCTCCTTCTCAAACAGATGTCCTTCGCAGTGCAGCCAAATTTTACAAAACAAAGGGTGACCTAGACAAAGCTATTGAACTGTTTCTAAGGGCATTGGAATCCATGCCAAACAATGGTTACCTCTACCACCAGATTGGATGCTGCTACAGGAAAAAAATCATGCAAATGCAGAATACAGAAGAATATGTAGCTAATGGGAATAGAGAGAAGATTGAAGAACTAAGGGAATGTGCTGTAGACTATTTGAAGAAAGCTCTTGAGAAGGAATTAAATTATCCTTTGGCATACGCCAAACTCGCTGAACTCCTGGCACAAAGAGGTCAGTACAGAGAAGCAGAAGAATGTTACCAGATAGCGTTCAGTAAGGAGCTCACCGACACTGAGAGGCAGCAACTCCATCAGTGCTATGGCAATTTTCAGGAATATCACATGAAGTCTGAAGATACTGGTGTCCAACATGATTTGGAGGGTTTGCAGATAAGCAAAAAATCAGCAGAGAAGGAAAAAATGAAATGCCAACTGCAGAACACAGCTGGAGATCAGCTTTTATTTAATACAGCAAATTACTGGTATCACCAAGGATTAATTCACAAGGAGAATGGAGATGTGCTGCAAGCAGTGGAATGCTATGAGAAGGAGCTGGGCTGCCTACTAAGGAA